ATCGGGCTCCCTGCTCGGCAGGGAGTCTGCTTCTCCCTCTGACCCTCCTCCCTCTCATGCTCTCTGTATCTCATTCTCTCTGTCTCAAATAAATAAAATCTTTAAAAAAAAAAAAAAAAAAAGAATATCTCAGGACATTGGTGGTGTTTTTTTGCAAGACAGCAGATGCCTTGAAATCACAAAAGAAGTTTTGCTAAAATATGTTATTAGTTGGAAGGATTATGAGTTACGACGCATTTTTTTAGGATTGCACATTTGACTATCATTATGTTTTAATAGGTTCAGATGGTGGTGTGTCCTTGGAGAGACGTGAAATGAAAAGAAACGTGTTTCTTTTTGTCTTGTCTAACAGGTTTCAGCATTGAAGACGATGGCCAGTCAGGGAGGACCCAAGTATACTCTTTCACAGCAGCCTTGGGCACAGCCAGGTATTCACATTTTACTATCAGGGATTTCTTTTTTTAGGATGTTGATTAATTTGCATTTATATAGTCTCTGACAGCTTGGAGTTGGTTTCCTACTTCTGTGGTTTGTGTTTATGCAAGATGCAGTTTGGAGCTGACAGGTCTAAATGGGCCAGCACTACTTGCATTTCAGAAAGCATTCCAAGGAAACAAGAATTAAAAAGAAAAAATACAGAGTTAAAAATAAACGGGGCTTAGATGGAAACTTGTTTCTGTACACCTGCTTTTCATTGTATTAGAGCTTTGGTGAAAGTACTGTTTTTGGTAGTCTGCAATTAGGGAGGGAATGCTACTGTTCTCAAGTATTAAATGAAGGATGTTGTTGGTCATTATTTTGTTTCACGTTTTATGTAAGTTACATCCTCAGTTTGTTAACATTTTTAGAGTGTTCAGGAAAATTATAAAAATTGTGGTGTAAGTGGGGAGTTGGCAGACATGCTTGAGATATTCCCAGTTTTACTCTTTCTTAAATATAAATTTTTTTGTGCCAGAGGGTTTTTTTCTTTTTTTTATCTTTAGCATTAGACCTCGGACATTTAGAATCACAACTTTGTGGGTTACTTTTGGTTCATTTTATGGCATTTTAAGTTGCCATTAAGCCAGAATAAATCATTTTGGAGGATTAGTATTTCTGGCTGGTCCCTGGCCCACATCAGGAAAGAGATCTTTTGGAACCTAAAAGGGCAAAATGGTAAAAGAATCATGTTTTAATTATGGAGAAGCTGTATCCAAGTTACAGCTTTGGGCAGCTTTTAGCTGAAAGTGAGATCCAAATTCACCTTTAGCATCCATAAAAAATTGACTGTCTACTAGCACCTAATCTAACGTTAGGTTTTTAATAAGATTGGTTTTCCATATTGAAAGAATGATATATTTGTCAGGTATTTTTTCTTTTGGGGAAAAGAATTGAGGGCATTCTAAAAATTTTCAGTTACTCTTAATAATGGCTCAGGTTAATTTGAAGTTGAACTAGAACTGAGAAGCTAAAAGAGTAGCTGTGCATCTCATAGGATTTGTAAGTGTACAGAATTATCAGTTGTATTTGAATGGAAGATAGGATTTTATTTCAAAAATTTGTCATATGAACTTTGATGATACCAGTATAAGTTTGCATTGATTTGCTTTATTGCATATGAACTTTTTGACTGCTTTCGGTCTTTTGTTTACCTGTGTTGGAGACAGTAAATATTTTACTGTCTTCATTATTTTAAACCTTTGTATCATGTGAGATTGAAATCTTCATCATCTTACCAAAGGACAGAGATCATACTTGATGCAGTAGTACATTCTGTCAGAAGACAGAAAATCAGTTTCTTTTATTGATCACACTGGAAATTCTTTTTAAAATTTATTTAATTTATTTATTTTTAGAGAGAGAGCATGAAAGCGTGGGGGTGGGGAGGGGCCGGAGGAGAGGGAGAGAGAGCATCTTGAGCAGGCTCCACACAGAGCCCGATGCAGGGCTTGATCTCAGGGCCCCGAGTCACCCAGGTGCCACAGCGCTGGAAATTCTAATCACAATTGGCTGTGGTGGTAGCCGCCTGTTCTGACCCCTCACAGTCAGGAGCAGTCTTGTCACTCCATAACTCAGCACAATTCTAGAAGGAATTCTGACCACCTGTGGATTAATTGGGACTTTGGGTCAAGGTTTCAGTGTTTTATAGGGCTTATTTAGAAATAGAAGCTGATTTTATTTTGAATGTTTATGTAAATGAAACTCTTGGGTGCAATAAATCTTTCTTAAAATAGGTAGAAACCAATAAACAGGCATAGGCGTATTTAATACAACTAAGCCCAGGGGCTTGATGCATAATTAACGTATTTTTCTTTCCTCTTTGGAAAGATCCTCTTTCACTCAAAACAGGCTGTCATTTTCTCAAGTGGAATCTGAGTGGAGCTTGCAGTGTTAGGTGTGCTGTGCTCTGCAGCATTAGTAAAGCAGGAGTGGATGAAAGGAAGCGGACAACAGGACAGATTGCAGTGGGGCTTGCTGCTTTGTCATTAACCCATTCTCTGTCTTTTAAGGGAGGAGGTCTTGGCAGATAGAGCAGTGGCACTCCAGTTCACTTAGCTGTTGTATCTTCTGTCCCATGTAGCTGCGCAGAGCTGTGGAGTTGCTTTTTCTTCATCTGTAGTACAAGAAGCCTACACTGAAATGTCGGGGATGTTTGGGCCTTTGGCTGGGAGCATCAAGAACAATCTAGGGGGCGCCTGGGTGGCTCAGTTGGTTGAGCGACTGCCTTCGGCTCAGGTCATGATCCTGGAGTCCCTGGATCGAGTCCCGCATCGGGCTCCCTGCTCGGCGGGGAACCTGCTTCTCCCTCTCCCTCCGCCTGCCGCTCTGCCTACTTGTGCTCTCTCTCTATCTCTCTGTCAAATAAATAAATAAAAGTCTTTAAAAAAAAAAAAAAGAAAATCATAGGGAAGAGAAAATACATTTATAGTACTGTACTGTAAAAAATTGACATATAAGTGGACCAGTACAGTTCAAACCATGTTGTTCAAGGCTCAGTTGTATTTTATTATAGTGCTAAATAAAGACTACACTGTATAAAGGAGTGCCAGCTTTGCTAAAAAGTGCTGAAAGTGGTACTTTGGTTATAAATTCTATAGGGTAGAGGTTTCTTATTATAGCCTTAGCAACTGGGAAGGTAGTAGACTCCTGTTTCCCTGAAAGACCAAAGCAGTGTTTATAAGGGAACATAGCAATTTATAATCATCCCTTCAGTGATGGTTTTAAATAGTTGAATGGCCTCACTTGGAGGAAATCAAGTCAATCTGGAAGACAGACGATTGTGGCCCATGGGTTGCGTGGCTAGAAGTAGTTGCCATGACTTTGTGACTTACAGTTTTTAATCAAGAAGGGATCTGGGGCTGAAGGCTGCTCACAGGGCCCCTGAGAATTTTTTATAGCATGGTCAAAAGTGTTGCTTTGTTTAACTTTCCATTAAAATACATGTTGCGTAAAGGGAGGAAGCTGTGGGGGCTATTTCCAGGGAAACTTTTTGCTGTTTGGAGTATTCAAACCTTGTGAACCTTTCTGGACTTCCAGATTTACAAACTTGATTTCTTACTTCAAGGCTTTAGATAAATTAGGGTAAGACAAAACAAAACAAAACAAAAACAAATGACAAAAAAAACTTCCTGCAAAAGAATTTGGGATTCTGTTGCTAGGAAAGCTGTACCTCTGATTGCGACCACTGCATTCTCCCAGTCATGGAATGGAAGGTTGCAATGAAATTTTCGTATGCTGGAAAGAGGATGGAAAGTTATTTGTAGACGGGCAGATTTAATTTTTAAAAAATATTTCTAAGCCTGAGCTCTCACATTTCTTATAATACATGAAATCAGGAAGCATGTCTAATGTTAGGCAAATGATTAAGTAAATTGTGGCATACTCATAGAGTAGACTGTTACACAGGCATTAGTTTGAAGCAAAAACATTTAACTTAAATATGTTAAGGCAAAAAGAAAAAGGATACAAACCAGATGTGCATTATGACTTTATGTAATGAAAACACACAATAAAACAAGAACATTGAAAGCTTTTGGGTGAATATGGATATTTTCCCTTCTTTTCTCTATCATCTTCTTTATTTTCCAGATTTTCGAGAGTAAGCTTGTATTTCTTAGCGGATAAGGAGGAGAAAATGATCTAATTTAAAAATAAGTTTATACGCTTATGTCTTCTTGTACCACCTCCTTTTTTTTTAAAGGGAGGAGTGAAGGGCTCTTTGATTATTTTGTCCTTACCCTGTGAGGCTATCCTATTTTACGTAACTCTGCTTCCCACATATTACAAGGGGTTTAAGTTTGTGTGAGGAAGTCCTCGATTTTGCAAGCATTAGCTCATTTATTTTTGTTGCTGAGTTTGTGTACTTTTGCCTTTCAAGAAAAAAGTGATTAATGAAAATGACCGCTTAATGTCTTAGCTTCTTTAGGCAAGATTATTATTGCCATACTTAATTGAAGACCTAATATATTAGTAAACTAACAGTTATGGTACTGTTTGCTGGATTATAACAGCTTTAGTAAAGTAAATCTGTATTATACTATTTTTGCCCCTTGGAGTTGTTAGTTTTTTAAAAAATAGAGCAAGTATTCAAAATGTGTAGTGCTTTCTACTTATTTAATGCTCTGTGTTCCAGAGTGCAAAGTGAGTTTCCATCAAATAAATCATACTTATATATTGATTATATGTTTATTTAGAAGGAGGGAGGAGAGAGAGAGAGAGAGACAGACACCGGAGAGGAGTTACTTTGTTTAATAACCCCTTCAAATTTTTTTTTTTAATTTGACAGAGAGACACAGCAAGGGAACACAAGCAGGGGGAGTGGGGGAGGGAGAGGCAGGCTTCCTGCTGAGCAGGGAGCCCGATGCGGAGCTCGATCCCAGGACCCTGGGACCATGACCTGAGCCGAAGGCAGATGCTTAATGACTGAGCCACCCAGGCGCCCCTAAAACTGTTGTTGTTTACTGAAGGACAATTTTATTCTTTTCCTAATATAGGGTAACTGTTGTAAGAAATATTTTCAAAGTAAGATTCTGTCTTGATTAAGCAGCAAGAATGAGTGGATGCAGCCTTGCTCTTGTTAATATACAGACTTTTTTTGGAAGTGAAAGTTATGATTATTCACTGTTTTAGGATTGGAACAGAGCTTTGAGAACTAAGCTTGACTCATAAGACTCTTCTAGATGGGTCCTGCCAGGGCAGATGCAAGTATAGTGACTCTCAGGGTATAGACAGTCAGTGCTCTCTTGGTGGCAGGATAATCCAAAATGGTAACCCCAAATCATTTTTGCATTTGGAAGCTCCTTTTGTGTAAATATGAATATTTCTGATATTCTGGATATTGAAACCACTTTGGCCAAACAGAGTCATGTTACTTGAAGAGAAACTGGAAAGCCACGAGAAGTCAGAGTTGTGCTCATGCTTTGACCTTTTCTTTATTTCCCGCTCCATGCTGAGGTTAGGTCACTTTATCTCTTCTGTTTTTAAACCAAGTTAAAATAGATTTGATTTCTTTTTCTAAATGTGTTACTTTATAGCCTTTGTCTGATTTACTTTCTTGGATTGATGAAGGAGAGTGGGTGACAATGTTAGAGTTTGCAGCAAGATTTTTCCAGATAATTCTAACATGGGTAATATGGGGAGAGTTCATTGTACCACAAAGGAGTATTGATACATATGGTTAGGTTAAGGGCCATAAACCTAGGTAGATTAATGTTGATTAATAACACTGTGTGTTTTATATGTTTTTATTTAATCTGTGATAATACCCATTTTTCTGTCTTATAATTTAGACTCAGATTGATGGACAACTTTTCTTAATTAAGCACCTTTTGATTCTTCGTGAACAAATTGCTCCATTTCATACTGAATTCACCATTAAGGAAATTTCCCTGGACCTCAAGAAAACTAGAGGTACTTCATTGTTCTGGCTGGCACATTTGGGTGTGTTTAACCTGTCCAAATGTGTCAGCAAAGGTTACAGGTTTATTTTATGTTCATCTGCAATTTTTTTTGCATGCTGTGCTTGCTAAGCATCTTACTTGTTCATACTAAGCTGAGCTGTCAACATCCTAATTACATCTTACTTGCTGTATTTCCTTTATGAAGTGAACTGTTTCTGAGCATTTCAATTTGTAATATAGCATTACTTCTCTTAGACTCTGCCACATGTTACCATAACCAGTTAAAAAATGAAAAATCAGTGTAACAGCTACTTACAGTGTCAGCCAATTGGGGTGATTTTAAACATCGAGTAGAGTTTGTCAGTTCATGAAAATTCAGGAAGCCAGCTGGGTAAAATGGTAAAATGAGAGTATTTATCTAAGAGTGAAAGATTTGGGTTCTGTTCCTGGACCATCATTTCCTGGCTCTTGTGTGATCTTGGATGGGTGTTTTAGCTTTCCTATCCCACGTGAAATGAGCAGAATCAACTTGTCATGATAACTTCACCAGGTTATTGAGATCATTAAGCATAAAAATGTATGTTAAAGTGCTTTGTAAGCTTTAGGTGCTTAAATAAGCCTAATTGATATTATTAAATCAGCTGGTTGTTACGTAAGCATGTGGATAGGGTCTTTGAGTTGTTAATAGACACTGAATCATCTTGTGAAAGATGATTCATCCGTCCTAATGATTTGCCTCTGACTAAATTAATAAGAGATGATTTCTAAAAGATCAAAATAGTTATTTTCTAAGATGTTGATCTTAAGCACTTAAGGATATACTATGAATATCCCTAGTTTCCCTTACTTACAAATTTATCTAAACTTTATCTTTTCTTAACCATTTCCAAGAGAATTAAGCTCTAATGCCTTAAGCCTTTGTTTATAAAATGGAACTTCTCTCTTAAGTATTGGGGGAATTGAGAAAATAGTCACTCAAATTATTTCCTGTACTCTGGTTCAGAGGAACTCCAAATACAGGATTCCCAAGGGTAGCCGATGTTAGTTCCCTAGTGGCTGTGCTTGTAAAATAGTAGGCTTGACTTAACTCACCTGAGAACCAAAGTGGTCTCATCATGAGTCATATTAGAACAGTTTACTCTCTCTTTTCCTAATGCTCTCTCCTTTCCACCATAGAGAATACCTTTTGGTTCTGTTGGAATTTGAATAGTGACCCTGTGTGTTACTCATATATTTTGTGATTTATTTTTATTTTTTATTTTTTAAAAGATTTTATTTATTTATCTTAGAGGGTGGGGGAAAAGCAGAGGGGGAGGGAGAGGGACAAGCAGACTCCTTGCTGAGTGTGGAGCCCGAGAATGAGGGGCTCAGTCTTGATCTCAGGACCCAGAGATCACAACCTGAGCTGTAACCAAGAGTCAGATGCTCAACTGACTGTGCCACCCAGGCGCCCCTGATGAAGACTAGATTTATTTCTCAGTCCAGTCTGGGGAATTGTGTTCTCCTTCCTTCTTCCCTTTCTTTCTTTGTCTTCTTTATGAATATTAGTTTTATATTATAGACAGAATACCTGTTTTAATAGTTCTGATAGGATGTTAGGTGATGAAGTTTACTAGAAGTCGCTCTCCCAGTGTAATTTAGTGATATATTTAATATGTTTATTTAGTCATCACATGGCCAGTATCCTGATACTTTCTTGTGTGGACCTTTTGGTTTAAGGATACCACTTTCAGTAAATATGCTTGCTTTGTTTTTCTTTTGATGAGGGGTAGGGGCATCAGGTGATCCTGCTGTGACATTTGTGTGCTATTTAGGGGTTGGCTATACTTTCTGGTTTCTGCATACAGAGTGAGAGGACTGGCCTGAGTGATAATGGAGTCTGTCTCCCAAACAGTTCTCTGGCCATTCCTTTTGGCAGTAGTTATGTGTGTGTTAGTCCTTCATTTTTGTGTATTTCCACCTTTATAAAACTATAAGTGTAAATTAGTGAGATTTTCATTACTAACTTAGTAATTAGTGACCTGTGTGTATTTGATGTTATTCTTTAGGCAGCGAAGAAGGGTTTCAAAAATAGCTTACTGTAGCTATTCTCACGTAAAGAGAAAACCAGTTGTTTATATTGGCCGGTTACTTGTAAAAAGCCTTTCTGACATTCAGAATGTATCCTATTCAGTCTTAAATTTTGTTTCTAAACGTAAAGTTGAAAATTCGCTTCCTGTAGGAGCCTTGTGTATTATATGACCCTGCAGCAGATACCTGGTAATAGTTCTGAAATTAATGGTTCACAAAAGGCTATGTATGTATTTATGGGAGTAGGGACACTTTTTTTTTTTTTTAAGATTTTATTTATTTATTTGATAGATAGCGAGAGCAGGAACACAAGCAGGGGGCAGTGGGAGTGGGAGAGGGAGAAGCAGGCTTCCCGCCGAGCAGGGAGCCCAGTGTGGGGCTCGATCCCAGAACCCCGGGATCATGACCTAGCTGAAGGCAGACGCCTAACGACTGAGCCACCCAGGTGTCCAGGAGTAGGGACACTCTATACTAATTTAACTTTTTCATTTCCATGGGTTGTTTTGCTGTGGTTCTCTTAATTGGTCCATTTATTAACTAGTTTTTTTTTTAACTTTATGGAAAGAATATGTTCATATAGCAAACACAGCTGAAAACTACACTTTCATCTTTTTTCTGATTTCTTTATATAGCAAATTGCACAGAGTTTAAAAGATGAACAGAAGAAGGTACCTTCAGAAGCTTCGTTTTCAGATGTTCGGTTAGAGGAAACAGAGTCTAATAATCTAAGAAAATCCGGTATGCTATGATGTTCAACCCCAGCTTTTATTCATTTGTTTAAACTTTTATTGAGGACTCGTCATGTTCTGGGCATGAGAAACACCTTGTGCCTTTGAGGAGCCCACACTTGGGTGGGGGGAGATTGATAAGCCACAGATACAATTGAGTGGTGACATGCTAAAGGTATGGACAGTGCACTCTTGGACCATGGTAGAAGGGCATCAGAATTATGAAGGGAGATGAGCTTTGAGTGCAGGAAGGTGGGTTCAGTGAGGGTTGGGGTGTCTGAAAGCTATATGGTTTATAAAAGCAAAAATGAGAGAGCCAGATGAAGTAAGGTTGTTTAAGATAGAAGAGCAGGGAGGAGGGCAGGCAGGAATGGAAGACCACGGTTGCTTTGGGGAAGTCAAGTGGTTTGGTATGTTTGGGCATAGGTTATTTGGAGGGAAGAGCAGATAAAACAGGCCAGAGAGGTGTCAGTGATAGTCTCATGGACTTTGAACTTCTTGCTAATATAGTGTATTGGCATCATTGTACCACCAGATTTGCGTTTTGTAAATATATGGAGTGCCTGAGACTGGGGTAAGATACTGATAAAAATGTTTGGGATAGCTTGGACTAGGGTGCACATTATGCAAGGAGCAAAATTGTCCAAAAGAATCCTGGATATTTATGTGTTATGTAGACAACAAGTTAGATGGGAAGCAGGATATACCTTCCCCTCTCCTCCTAGCTGTAAGGGAGACACTGAAGCTCAGCTCCTCATGGAGCTGGGACTGACTGGGAATTGGGGTAGTGAGAATGGGAGGCTTTAAAGAGCCCCAGGTGTCCCTAAATCCCCAGGTTTAGGGCACCATCAGGTATTGTGTGTTATTCTATGAACAATTGATACCTCAAAGCCAGACTGCCAAGCAACCTGAGTATTCCCTGTCTGGCAAAGCCATTTTATCACACTTGCCCCCTAGGGGGTTAAAATTTCCTCCTTTGAAATAGAACCTGTGCCATGTCTTCGTATACCTTTTGTTTCTCGTATACACCTTGGTCCTAATAAACCTCTTCAAGAGTTATTGGAGAGACTAGAGTACATTTCTGTCTTATTGACCCTGGTCTTATACATTTTCCCTTTCCCCAGTAAAGTCTATTCTTTCACCCATGTTTGGCCTTAATATAAATAAGGTATTGTTGGCAGAACTGTAGAGACTAGTTAGGAGATTGTTTTCCATTTGAAAGATAAAGGTTTGAGCCAGGGCACTGACGGGGATGGAGAGAAGTGAATAGATGAGGCATCTGGTTAAAAGCTTGAATCGATAGAATTTGATGACACACTAGATGTGGGGGCTAAGAAAGACTTAGCAGGGTCCATGTGGAACAACTGAGAGGATCTGTGTGTATCCATCTAGAGCTATGCTGTTCAATATGGTAGCCGCCTGCCATTGAACATGTGAAATGTGGCTCATCTGAATATGCTTTAGCATATAAAGTACACACCAAATTTCAAAGACTTAATCTGAAATAAAGAATGAAAAAAACTTTATTAGTAATTTGTCTTGATTACATGTTAAAATGGTGATATTTGAGATATATTGGGTTAAATACATTAAAACTCATTCCATTTGTTTCTTCTTTCTTTTTTAATGTGGCATTATAATGTGTTACATTTATGGCTCACGTTGTATTTCTGTTGGACAGTACCGCTCTAGAACTATAAAGAGGACTGATTTAGACATAAAGATTGTAGAGTAATTGACACTTCGGGCTTGTGTAGGATCACCCCAGGACAGAGAGGAGAGTGACAATAGCAGAAATCTGGGGAGAGAACCTCAGCAGATGCTGACATTAAAGAGCAAATGGAGGTAGAGGAGTGTCCTGGGTCAGCAATGAGAGAGGTCAGAAGCAAGCAAGGGGATAGGGTGTGATTAAAGTCAGAGGTGGAGGGGTTGGCAGTATAGTTTTGGGTAAAGGTTGAGAAATAGGAAATCACAAAGCTATTGTGGTCGGAGAGTGGGATGCTAAGATCTAATAATTAAGAGGTGAAATAGTTTGGAGTACTAAGAAAGTGTAGAAAGTAATAAAGTAGTTCTGAAAGAAGGTCATGAGAAAATCTGTGTGGTAGGGAGCAAAGGTCTTTGGAATTGACAACCATGTGGTTGTCCATATGGTTATTGATGCTACTTAGAGTGGTGATAGAATTTGGGATGGAAAACAAGACTGAGTCAAGTGGCAAGGGGAGCAAAAAAAGGGTGTAATCACTTTTCTTGATTCTTGGCTTCTTGGTATGTTGGAAGTGAAAATAGAAGCCTCCAAAGTGAGGACTTTAAACAACATGGTGTTCATGTAGTAGAACTCGGTGCCAGGGCAAATTAGTGGAGGGACCATTGTGTGAAGAGGCTGGTTATCAGTATCTTCAAAAGCAGAGGCCCTGTTCCATACATAGAGCAGGTAAGGGGAGGGCGGGTCTCACGGAGGATGCTGGAAGAAGACTGCAGGATGGAGGAGCCCTGCTCTTCAAGAGAGGCAGCCAGTAGGCACTCGCCTCTTGATGGATTGTCATGTAAGTAAACTTTCCCTCTGTCAATTGTTTTAACTGTTAACTATTTTTAACAGGAAAGTGGAAAAAAAAAAAATAAGCCAACTTCTGGTTTTACTTAAATAGATTTGTTTCACTAAGCTTTTATTTGGGGGTACCTTTTGGCTCTTTATATTGAAGGAGGGATCCTGCGGATATCATAATCTTAGTACAACCATAGATACTTCATCTCCTAAATATTCTTTGATATAATTTGTCTAGTTTATTCTTTCTAAGGAACTTCATATAAAGGAGATATTTTAGTTTAAAGTAAGGCTTTATAGAAGAGCTTTTAAAATTACACAAATATTACATGCTTTTGAAAAGCAAAAAATTAAGCTTACAGAATTATAAATTAAAAGCACTAACCCACAGCATTCTCCTCTTTTTCCCCATAAATCTATACCACAACCTCCAGACCTCCTTCTAAGCAGAGATTGTTCTCTTTTTTTTTTTTTTAAGAATTATGCTTTGCTTGGCTATACTTTTGTTTTTTTATTATTGAAAAGATTTCAAATATACAGAAAGGTAGAAAGAACGATGCAATGAACAGTGAACACCACTACCCAGCATCTGGATTCAAGACTTAACATTTTATCACATTATATATATATATACATTATATATACACATATTCTTTTGCTAATAATTTTATTTTTTTTAAGTTTATTTATTTATTTAAGTAATCTTTACACCCAATACGGGGCTCGAACTCACGACCCCAAGATCAAGAGCCAGCCAGGTGCCCCAATCTTTGCTAATCATTGTAAATTATTGACATCATTGCCAGTTTACTCTTGAGTATTTCATCATCTCTCCAAAAAGTAAGGACATCTCCTATATAACCCTAAAACTTTATTGCACTAAAACATTTAATAGTTTTCTAATGTCCTCTAATACCCAATCCATATTTCATTATCCCCTCTTGTTCTAAAGTATTATTTTAGGTCTGCTGTTGTGGCTCATTTGAACTCTGGTCCGTTGAGCCGAAGTGATTGTGCTTCCCTTACAAAGATGTCTCTGCTCAACCAAGCTCTCCACCTGCTCCTCCTCACCCTCACCACAGTGTCTGCTCTGTCTTGGAGAAAGGGGGGACAATTCTCCCCACTTGGGAATTGGATAGACTAAGTAGGCCTACAAGTAATATAGCTAAGAGCATAGAAGGAAGGCTGGCAAGCAAACCAGCTTTGATTAATTTTCCTGTTTAACATTGCTTTATTTTCTTGTCATTTCCTCACTTCCATTGGCTCCCACTTGCTTCCACATGACTACGTACAGATCTATCTCCTTTTTGTGTATACTGTCCATTCATTCCATAAAGATTATTTTGTTTGTTTTAAAGATTTTCATTTATTTATTTATGATTTTTATTTATTTGAGAGAGAGGTAAAGAACGAGCAATGGGGAGAGGCAGAAGGAGAGAGCAGGAGAAGCAGACTCCCCTCTTAGCAGGAAGCCCAGTGCGGGGCTCCAGCCCAGGACTGGGAGATCATGACCTGAGCTGAAGGCAGATGCTTAACTGACGGAGCCACCCAGGCACCCCAGATTTTATTTATTTATTAGAGAGAGAGCGAGCATGAGGGGGGAGGCAGAGGGAGAGGCAGGAGCAGACTTCCTGCTGAGCAGGGAGCCCAGGGCGGGGCTCAATCCCAGGACCCTGGGACCATGACCAGAGCTGATGGCAGACACTTAACCTACTGAGCCACCCAGGTGCCCCCATTCCATAAAGATTAATCACAATTTTGGAGTAGCTATTTGAGTTAAGCATATATATATGAACCTGGAATGTATATATGTATTTATGTGTAGTCTCACTTATTGTGTTAAATATCAGCTGTCATGATTCCTATGGGTTCCTGTGGCACTGTTGATTAAAGGGGAAAAAACCTGGAAAAAATGGATGCCTCCAGCTAGTGATAACAAAAACAAACAGTTTATGTTTACCATGCAAATAAGACAAACCTCCATGTGTGTGAAATGTGTCTTTTTTTCCATTTGGGTTTTTAGGTTCAACAGAATCCCTCAATCCTAGAGCGCAGACCACAATTTCTCCCGCAGATCTTCACGGAATGTGGTATCCTACAGTTCGAAGAACTCTTGTGTGTCTTTCCAAATTGTACAGATGTATAGATGTACGTGTATCATTTGTTATATCTTTACTGTAAATTGCTCTTTCATGAGAAATTTTATTTTATTTTTTTAA